TCACTTTAAGCTTTTGGATAAATTAAGCAAAAAAGGGGTTCCTGATAGCATTGTATGTATGCTGATGATTTGGCCATACTTTCGCCCAGCAGTGCTGGTTTTCAGCAACTGCTGAATGTGTGCTCGGACTATGGATTGAAGTATGATGTGAAATATAATGCAGAAAAGAGTGTTGTACTGATCTGTCGGACTAAAGGGGACAAAGAACTTTGTTTCCCAGACTTTTGTTTGTCTGGACAAAGGTTGAGTGTCTGTAGAAAAACTAAATATTTAGGACATTTCATTACAGATCAGCTTTCTGATGATGAGGATATATATCGGCAGTGTCGCATTTTGTATGCTCAAGCTAATATGTTGGTTAGGAAATTTCACATGTGTTCTGCTAATGTTAAAGTTCATCTGTTCAGAACATACTGTACACCGTTGTATACTGCCCCATTGTGGTGTAAATATAAGGTAGCTACTTTACAGAAACTTAAAGTTGCTTATAATGATGCCTTGAGGATTCTGCTTAAGAAGCCTAGGTCCACCAGCGCCAGTCTGTTGTGTTCACAGGTCCATGTTGGTACCTTTCAGGCATTAATGAGAAACCTGATGTACAGATTTATCTGTTGTGTGAATAACTCTGAGAATAGTCTTATAATGATGCTGGCTAATCCTGGTTTTAGTGTAGTACGTTACCAATCCTCTCTGTGGAAACATTGGTATAAATGTCTTTTATGATTTTTTTTTCTTCTTCTTTTATATCCTTTCTTTTTTTCTTTTATTTCTTTTTTTGAATTGACCTTGAGTCTGCTAATAAAGGATGAAGATGATGATGATGATTAACTTCACAAATTTCAGAAACAAGCCCAAAGAGATAAAGCTTGGTAAGCACAGTGATTCATGGAGATGCCATCCTCATTAGAATCAGAATCAGCTTTATTGGTCAGGTGTGTTGGACACACGAGGAATTTGACTCTGGTACATCGGCTTCTTCTTCTTCTTTCGGCTGTTCCCGTTAGGGGTTTCCACAGCAAATCATCTGTTTCCACCTAACTATCCTCAGCATCTTCTGTTCTCGCCCCAATTAACTTCATGTCCTCTTTTAGCACATCCATATATCTCCTCTTTGGCCTTCCTCTTGACCTTACATTTCATGACCAGTTCATGTAGAAAACCAGGAAATTGCAAAGAGTTCTATTACTTTTTCTTGCGTATCACAGTAAGTTGTTATAAAGTGGAGGAATGAAATATTAAAGACCTGGGTGTTCACCTGTCAGAAGGACCTAACAATTTCAAGTTAGACATTTTTGTGTGACTTAGAGGAACAAGTTTCCAGTTGTTCTAACAAACTGGTCCCTCTTGTTCTATCACTGTTTGCACCTTCACCTGAAAGGTTAGAAATCTATAAAAGCTGCCCCATGAGACTGTAATGAGGCAGTGTTAATAATGTTAATAGCATGAAACAAAAGGGAATGTTCTCTGATGAGCACAACAGAGATGTGTAATGCTGCCATCTTTCTTCCCACTAAAGTCAAGTGCACTGGAGTTTTCCAGGTCAGTCTGTGAGGATATTGCAGCATATTGCCTAGCAAATTGAAATGATGTGGTAGAAAGGGTAATAAGGGGTGTGAGGGAGTGAGGTGGCGGGGGGTCAGGAGGAAGGATGTTCTACTACCCTCCTGTTCCTCTTTGTCTTTTCTGTTTTCTCCTTCAGTTCTTTCTCCTCACTGTTGTCTCCTTCTCCACCTTTTCATTCTCTTTTCTTTTTCTTTCTCCTCCATTTTTATGTTTTCCTTTATTTCTTTCTCACTCTCCTTCTCTTGCACTGTCATGTTTTTCTTGTCCTGCACCTTTGTAATAATAGGCTGCTGTTCTTTAGCTGCTCCTTTGTTTGGAGGACAAGCTCCTTTTATTCCAGATAAATTCTCAGTTCATCTAAAACAAGCAGTTAGAATCCAGCTAGAATACAACTAAAACAATCGGCTGAGGTGTCATCCCTGAAGCTCTTTGTTCTTGGAGGTGAGGAGGCTGATCTGGTTCGGCTCCTTCCTGAGCCATTCCTTACACAGCAGCTTCCTCATATCCTGCACCTCCTGCACTGTTTTCAGGTTTCCTCTCTGTGATTGCAGCTCCTTTTGCAGGCTCACCTCCAGAGCATCACACCTGGCTGTCTGTCGCTCTTCACTGTTCTTTAGCTTCATGTCTTTTTGAGCCAGTATGAGGAGCTGATACTTTTGTTTGAACTCCTCTTGGAGCTGGCGCAGCTCCTCCTGCTTCTGCCCTTTTTCCAGGAGGCCGAGCTGCTCCTTTCAGGTTGCTGGTCAGTGAGTTGTGGCTTTACTGCAGCCTGCCAGCGCTGCTTTGGGCCACAAAAGGCAGCTCTAAACTGCACTGACCCAAAAGCCTGAAAATACAAATATGTTGTTCTTAAGATACAGTCACAACACTGAACACAGATGAAACCACTAATGTCTGAGAACCAAGGAGAGCTCTTGGAGTGTCTCTCAACAGTGAGCAACAACTCGGATTCAAACATATTTTACAACAGAAATGTCTATACACTAGATTATTAAAAGTGGTCGTGGTCCATGTCAGTTGAGTTTGTTTGGGTTAAATAACTAAAGTTGTGACGCTCTAATCTATGAAAATCACTCGACTTCTTAGAAAATTAATAGACTTTATTGACACTTTAGACAAAATGAATAAATAATAGAATAAACTCAGCTGGTCTAGTAGGCCAAGTTGCCAAACAAGTCTCCTGGTCAATTCATACCTGGTTGCTTCAGAGAAGAATCAGGAGCGGCAACACAGGTAGCAGTTGCGCTTCACAGTTGGAGTTCAACTGGAAACTGTATTGTAGTTTCAGAGTTGTAGTATGTTCTCATATAGTTTATCAAGTTAATGATGTTCAAACAGCAAATGTAGATATAGTCAGTTGTTGTTTCACCAAAGACAAACATGGTTCTCAGTTCCGGTTGTTCAGTGTAAATGTGAAGTTTCTCTACAGGAGAGGGTTCCCAACAGAATGTACGTTACGGGGTCAGAATGTGGCAACGGTGGACGTCAGGCAAGCTCGCATGAGATGATTAGATTTAAGGAAATCATAAACTATCACATAAGACTTTACAGTGAGAGCAAAATGTGTATAAACCAAGTTTCTTTTGCATAGAAATACTAGAACATATGTACACCTCATTTTTTGATCTTTTGGTCATCTTTAAGTTGATAATTCACTGTTGTAATATTGTAGATAAGTCAGAAAATCAGGAAAAGAATGCCATGGGCTCTTTAAACCTGTTGGTAAACTAGGATATGACTATATCTCAGAAGAAAAAAGTGCCTATAACAGCATTGTTTCAACAGAAAGAAAAGTATGCTGCCTGTCTCGTTACTCTGAAAAATCCATATGGCAGCCTGACATCATATATTGTCAATTTAAATAGTTTGCAATTAAGTCTTGAATTATATGCAGCTGTTTTTTTTTAAATAGACTTTTTAATGCTCAGAAATATGTTCCTGACAGCTGAGTGATAGTTGACTGAGTAAATCCTTAGTTGGGTAAAGCCCTAGATGGGACATAGTAAATTGATAATTTTAGACTATATTCATTTAATAAATGTCAAAAGGCAACAAATAGCTGAACGGCTCTACAACAATCAGAGTAGTTTCATTTAACCATAAGGCAGACCATTTCATGTGTGTAACTAAATAAGTTCCATCTCCAGTCTCATGGTCAAACAAAACCTAGACATTCATGTTTGTAATTGTTGCCAAATGAATATGTTTGTAAAATGGTAATCCATACTTTGGAAATATTGCCTCTGCTTACTTCAGTTTATTACCCAGTTAATCACAGTTATTATTTAATAATCACATTTATGGCATCATAAATTGTTGGTTTATGGTGAAAGTGTACGTAAAGTGTCCTTAGACAAGACACTGAACCCCAAGTTTCTCCTATAGCTGTTCTGCCTGCCATTAACCATTTACCAATCACCACCAGATAAATATAAATAGGCCTGTTGTTCCATAAAAGTGTTCCACCAAGTATCATGGGGTGTTCTCAATTCTCAACCTGATGTAGGAGTGAGGAATGATCATATAACATACATACAAGGTACCTATGGTCTGCCGGTTGGGCAACCCACTCTTATTTTTCCCAGCTATTGAATGCTTTGGAATGTATTGCTTGTGAGTAACTACGCAAACAACTAAGCAAACAGCAGAAGGTCCTCATTGTTTACATGTTTTATTGTTGTTTCAGTTTTAAAAATCCTGTGTCTGTTTAACATAGCCCATCAAGTACCCATTGAGAAAAGGTGGCAAAGTTAATAGTAATCTGGACCACAGCAGTGAGTTTGTAGGTACTGAGTAATGACTTGATCTCTACATTCTACCAGACCATAAGCACACTGTTTACATATAAAATAACCAGACAGACATCTGTGATTTTGCATAATCTTTTACATGCAAATCTGGGCTGGCTCATTTTGAAAGCTTTTCTGCCCCTTTTCTTTTATATGTGGAACACATATTTCACTTAGATTTATCCATATGTGAAGGGGATGCTGAAAACAGAATGGAGGTTCCAGTTCATGTGCAGGTGCTGTCACCTATTGTGATTTTGCCATATGTAAAAGATATGATATAATGAAAATTTATATCCAAATAAAAAAGAAACAAAAATCAATACAAGGAATTTTATGACAGTGATGTCAAAAACCCATAAAAAGCCACCTAACCCTACATGGGTATAAATGGTGTCTTAATGTTTAAAATCTCTGGTGAGATTATTGCTTATTATTTTTAACATCCCATGGAACGCAATAGCACTACTGTAGATGTAAATAGGAAAATATATTTTTATGCATTTTGGGTTCACCATTCAAGTTTGAGCATATCAATATGTGGTTTGACAGTAAGATACTAAATCTATACTAATATACTATAATAGTAAGGTCTAGACCTTACTAAAGTGTCCTGAGATGACTTTTGTTGTGATTTGAATTTGACAGGTTTAGCAAAACCAACTTGGGTTGGACCTGGTGCAGATGCAGGAAGTCAGTAAAACCTGCAGCCTGGATGATGACATGTTGGATGGAGACCTGGGTGATGGGATGGAAGTCAGAGTAGCACCCAGCTCTACTGTGAAGAAAAGCAGTTTCACTAATCTTGTAGAGACCCCGCTGCCCAGCAGCCAGGCAGGAGAGGTAGCCTGGATCCCTGGACTGAAGGCTACAGAGGCACAGCAGAGAGCCCGCTGGAAGGTGCCTCACTGCGGTAAGAATGTCTGCGAACAAACCCTTTACTGTAGCAGGAGCTAAACAGGTAACAAATGATAAATGCAAGATAACATCAAATTCTGACTTTGCTTTTGTTTAAAATAGTAGACATCACTTCACATAAATCAAAACATATTAAAGGAATTAATAAAAATTTTTTTTTAGCTATTTTGCATTTTGATCTGACAGCCTCCGCCAAGGGTGGAGGTAATGCTTTTGCCAGTGTTTAAGAGCAGAACTCTTATTTCTCAGATTTTGATTACATTTTTTGGAGAGGAAGGGTATGGGCCACAGAACAATTGGTTAAATTTTGGTGCTGATCTGTATCATAATTCGGATACAGGAATATTTTAAATGATTATTAACCACTATGAGTGCTGGAAAGGCTGCTGACTGTACTTGGGACCCCTTCTGGCCAAAGTGCGCAGCTGTGCTGCTGAGCACTTTGAGCACATACACAGCTGGGGCAAGAACTACTCTATGCAGTGACAGCTGGGTGAGAACCTGAGGGCAGAGATTTTGAGCCATGCTCAAAGCTGTTAGCATTTTCATCTGTATGACTGGTATTGTGCCATTTATTATGTTTTTTACTATATTTTCTTAAGCAGCAAAGTAACCACTTAGATTGAGAATAGGTGGTCAGTCTGTCCAAGTAGTGCAAATTTAGAAATTTGTTTCAACATTTTCAGAGATGTGTCCTTATTATCCAACCAAGTTATCTCTATTAGCATGCAGCTCCATCTGGTTCAGAGTACAGTGGTCTATCAGTGAGGATGCCAGTGTTCCAGCTGCATTTTATAGCTGCGTTTCTGAACCTAACGAGCTGTACACCCCATGCTTGTCTTAACCCTCACCTGGCATAACCTCATGGGTTGACTCAGAATGTTCTGTTATGCTTTTCCACTGTATTTTCCCTATGTTCCTCTCTGTTTAGAGGGAGGGGCTGCACTCCTCTCACACTCACTCATAGCTGAGCATGAAGTAACACTCCACAGTGCAACAATCAGCCAGTAACAGAGACTGTATGAGCAGTTTAACAAGCAGCTGTTGAACAAACAAAACACACACTTGCAGAAATGTGGCGTCTTCACCACTTGCCACTCACTGAAATCCCTGATTTACCCCTACACCAGTGAATGTCTGTCATGTCTATTGTTTTTCTTGAATACATTTCAAACTAATGATATCAGCATCATTCCAAATGCCAGCACTAGGTTTTCATGCTAAAGTAGTCATATTATGAGGGGTAAGCTATCATAAGAGTATTGCTTTTATGGCATTATGGGAAAACAGACTTGCCCCTTGGAGGAGGTTGCACTCTCTGAGTGCTGTCTAGTTTTTTATTGTGTTCCACGAGTAAACAAGTCTTTAAAGTGACTCCCGATTGGATCTGGTAAATATTATGTGAAGGTAGTGAGGAGGTAGGTTGTTGTGGGTTGACTGTGGTTCAGTGGGTAGTGTGGTTGTCTCCCAACCGGAGGGTTGGAGGTTCAAATCATGGTGCCTGCAGTCCACATGTCAAAGTGTCCTTGGGCCAGACACTGAGCCCCCAAGTCGCCCCCGATGGTTAGAGCCATCGGTATGAGTTGGTGCTGCAGATGGCTGCCTCGGTTCTGTACCGGAAACAAATTCCTTGTGTGTAACATACTTGGCCAAATAAAGGTGATTATATACTGTATATGATGATTATTGTGAATGCTATCCTCTTTATGTTTGTTGATTCATTTTAAATTCTTAACTGAATGTATGTAATTCCAAATAGTAAGAAATTATTTCCATATATGTTATTGGGGGGGTAATTTCCTTTTGTCTTACACAGGGTAGTTTCAGAGACAAACAACAGACAGATGGTGAATCCATGCATAGCCTCAAGTAGCAATTTACAGCAAACCTGTTTATTGAATCTGTATCCTTATTTCAGGTAGCAAAGATTTTCACTTTGATCTCATTATAGTGATAATTTTTATTGTGTAGTTGTATTCAGAAACCCTCCTTATTAATTTGTCTTTTGTTTTCAGTCACTAAAACAAGTAGTAGGATGTAGCCATTACTTACAAATGCCAGAGCAGCTTGGGAGAAAGTTCAGCTAATGTTGCATCTTTGGATGGAACGCTGTGCTCTGCAGTTATCCTTGCATATGTATGTGATATATGTTTTTCCACCAAAATGTGACCGACAAACTCTATTCTAACTGCAGGTTTAACCACAAAGCCAAGTGCTGACCATGCAACAGCCTTGTAAAGCTTTTTGAAGAAGTCACAAATGTGTCCTAGTTCCAACTGCTTTTTACAAACTCAGTGCTATGAGAACACGTACATTTTCTCTGAGTTCATTTTTTGTGAATCAGTAGGCTCCCTGCTTGACCTGTCCAAAGATGAGCTGAAAGACAGACTCCAGGAAGCAAATGAGGTAGGAAAAATGAAGAAACTCCTCACTTGACTCCAGCTTGGCAAACTGTAACTGATGGTTCTGCTGTGTTGACAGATGATAGATGTATTATGCTGTGAGCTGGAAGTGGCACATCGTTACCTTGAAGGCAAATATGAAGCTCTGAAGATCTTGCAGGGAAAGGTAGAGCAACACACCCACATAGTGTTCTGTAGTTCATTTGGAATAAGATGAGTGCCCAGAAAGTAAATGAAACAAGTAGTCATCAGGAATGCGGCTTAGTAGGCATTCTTTGCATCTAGTGGTCCATTTCCCAGCCTTTTTCTCTTGTGACTCCTTCAAAATGAAGCAATGCATACATGTGTCCTTTGACCTTTTAATACTTTTTTTTAACATCTCCCCCAGGATGGATCAGGCTAGCTGTTCTAGAGCTTGTGATCATATCACATGGCTGTCCAGCTATCAGAGTGTCATACCCTGCTTTTTGCTGTAATGTACAAGGATATCAAAGGGACACTTGAATTTCTGAGGTTCATGAAAGAGGAGAGCACAACACCTCCTTTGACCTTTATCAGCATGAAGTTACTATAAATGATTGGCCTTCCAGTCCTTGACAGATTTTCAGCTATTTTGTAAAATGCTCATTTTGGACACTTGTAGACAGCTGCTAGTCTGGCATCATATGTGAACATTATACTGTAGCAGAATCAAAGTAAGACATCTCCAGAAACCAGTCTTTCTGCTTTAACACAGGCGCCTTCAGTTGTAGAGAAGGAAGTAATCAGGTTCTGTGATAAGTTGAGCTAAAAACCTGCAGTCTTGTTCTTGATCAGCTGATGACTGACTGCTCTTCTTCTCACAGGCCATTCTAGACAAGGCCACGAGTCACACTAAAAGTCTGCTACAGAAAGGCGAGGAGAGGGCCAAAGCTCTGGAGAAGGTGACTACTTTTCTTTGGTCAGTTGCTCATAAATGTGCAGGCTACTCAAATAAGGGCTTGGTCTGTTTGTTTTAACATCATACAGCCAGGAACTAACTTTTCCCGTTTCTTAATGACAAAGGGAAACAACAGCAATTCTCCAAGAAATGGTGGTGTAAGGAAACGTATCTATGTTTACATTCAGACTGACTTCATTGTATGATTACACTATAGTTTCAGGTACATTTCCCTCTTGGTGAGAGGGGCATTAAACATAGGAACAATCCACAAAGTTGAGAAATATCTGAAAATATGAAATGGGTCAAAAATGAAGATGAACATAACACAATGTATATTTAAATATGTTTAATTTTGCACAACAAATCATTCCTGCAACTATACAGTCCAGTTGCATTGTGAGAATGTGAGTAGAATGTAGTGAACATGCTACAAAAGGAATATCAGTAAACATAATCCAAGAAAGTCACTTTCGGCTTTTCCTGTTTTTAGGGGTTGCCACAGTGAATCGTCACACTGACAACTCGCATGTTGACATTTGGCACGTGTTTTACCCTGATTCGAACCCGGGCCACAGCGGCGAGAGCGCTGCGCCTTAACCACTAGCCTATCAGTAAACACAATCCACTATATAGTAAACAGGAGGCACAACCTTAAATGTAATTTTTGTCAGTGCAACAAGTCGACTCAAAGAAAAAACTTGTTAATTATCTAGATCATGACCAAGACTTTTCAAGGTAAGATAACTGTCATGTTCTGCACCTACTTCCTTTTGGAGAATCTTATTTTAAATGGAACTTCTTGGTTTTTACCATCTCACTCTCTCCAGCTTCACTGCAGCCAATCACTGGCTAATTCAGCTCAGCTGCGCCTCCTTACTCAGCTTATATATCCTGCCTCCCCCTTACTCATTAGATTCTAGGTTTTTAAGTTGCTGCACTCTCCTGTTACCAGACATGAAACCTGTTTTTGGTTCCTCTGCCTACTGAGTCTTTGCTGCTCTGCAGTTTTGTTCAGCTGCTGTTTTCTCCTGCCTGTTCTCTGACCTACACTTGCCTGATTCCTGAACTGCTACTGCCTGTTGGATTTTCTTCCTGTCCAGCCCTTGCTTGCTTCATGAACTTTGTTCTCTGCCTGTCAAAAAAAACAGGCAGAGAACAAACAAGTTTAATCACTGTTGAATCAACAGACGGGCTGCCTGTACCTTGGACCTCTGCTTCACCACTTTCTCTTTACAGAGCTCTGTGTATTTATCGTGTGTGGCCTTAGAGGGCTCTTTCAGTTTTTTTTTTTGTTTTGTTTTGTTTTTGTTTGTTGTTGTGCCAGCTGAAGAGGACAGTTTTCTTGTATTTTTTGTGGAGTACAATCACTTACCTGTGCCAGCTGCTTTGTTTTTAGTCTTTTTGTGTTTGTTCACTGTGACATTCAGTGAAGCCTATGACCAGAGACATTTTCTTAGTTGTTGCTACTTACCCACTATACTCAGCCTCTCCTGACCTCCAGTGTGCTGGAAGATTCTGGAACCACCATTTCTTGGCCATTCCACCCTGTGGAAAGAAACCTGCCTCAGCTCCCCTGTCAGCCAGTATTCACCTGATAGTATCCAGTCTCTGTATAGTGTTCCTTCAGCCACAGTGTCACTCCTACCTAGTTTGTGGTCTGTTCTCCCTGTGCTGTGCCTTCTATTTGCAAAACAGACAAATGACGACCATTAAGAAGCATCAGAATCAGCTTTATTGACCAGGTGTGACAGACACACGATGAATTTGACTCTGGTACATCGGCTCTCAATGTGCAAACAGTAGACCAGCATAAGGCTGTGTAATATAACAAAATAAGCAGTATTAACATCAACAAACAGAGCAAACAATGCAGAAAAAGCAGTATAAACAGACAGTAAATAATACAGACAACAAAGGAATGTTCATTGAAATGAGATAAATAGGGATAAAACAGAGTACTTAAGAACTAGAGACCTGTACAAGTCTCTATAATAATCCTGTCTTTATGAGTTCCCAGTGGTCCCGCTGCTGAAAAACTTAACATGAGTTTTACTTGTTAATACGACTGCCTTTGCATCTTAATCACTGCTCTTCTCTTGTGCGGATTTTTGTTAAAGCACTCAAACATTTCTCCAGCCTGTTGTGCCTTGCAGTTGGGTCCTTTATGATCTGGTTATCTGACAGCAATTCTACACATTAACTTCATGTCATCTTGTAATGATCATAATTTATTTTTAATTAAATAATTTTATAACTATTATAAAGTACATGACCAAAGTAAATGGATTAAAATAGGTTATCCAATCAGTACACATAAAAATTGGTTTAAATCCAGAATTTAGCTTGGGAAGATATGAATAACTGATATCAGGAACAGATTTAAATTGAAAGTAAACATTTTATGCAGCCTGAATGTAGACATCAAATGCTAAAAACATTTGACAATTTTATTTAAGCTCTTATGATGGATTTCATGGCATAATAAAAATGTTTGGAATCCCTCAGTATTACTATACAGATTTATTAGCTCCACCAAGAAAGTTGCTTTTGGTTCTGTCTTTTAGCAGGGTTATGGACAAATGGCTCGATAGCTCATCAGAAGAAAGATAAAAACCTACTTCTGTCAAACTGACATGCGGTGTGATGATTAAACTCTGATGTTGCCAGCTGTAAGCCCTGCCTACTTTTAGCACTTCAGTGTCATCTTTTATAATCCCTAATTACAGACTTGAAATGTTTTCACACATTGGCGTTAGATTTTCACTTAAAACAATTTATTATAGGTTTGACAAAGTTAACCACCATAATTTATGGCTTTATAACAACATTAAAGGGCCCATGGCATGCTTTTCATTGTTTTCTGACTTGTCTACAATGGTAAAACAGTGAATTATCTTAAAAGTGACAACACTCAAGAAATGAGTGTATGTATGTTCTAGTACTTCTATCTAGAAACAACTTGTTTTATGTAAGTCCCGCAAACTCTCGCTTGCCATACTTTTTTTCTAACAACGTAAAGTCTTGTGTGATAGTTTAAGGATTGCATTGCATTGTCATAATCTCCAGCAGTTGCACGTTCATGTGAACTTTCCTAATATCCATCGATGTAATGTTAAAAGTGGGATTTTTCAACTCCACACTGTTTTGTGGATATATTTTACTTCCTTTTCTCTGCGCTGTGACCAGAGGATGTGGAGCAAAATAAAGGGCCTGAGGTTACTGCATGTTTGGGAATGTTCCTGTACATGGACTCACTGTTTTGCCTGACCACGTCTAACCTACAAGCAGCCAGCCATTGAAGCACTCTCGGGCAGTGACTAATCAGCTCATCAACCCTGGATTCCCCCAGAGCACAGTACCCATTTGTGTTGACTGCTTGAGGCCAGTGTGTCTGCCGCATGTGATGTGTTGCTGGTTAACGAGCGGATTCTAACAATCCATGATGTTATTGTTGGTGCTACACTACTTGTTGGAATTAATGTCACTATTTTGGGACTGTACGTGGTCATGAGTGGTAAGATGCAGTGACCACCGGTTGGATTTATGGACCTTAGAGCTGCTTGAAAGGGGGTGAGGTTTCCACTACTTGTTGTGACTTAACAATAAGTTTAACCCACACATGTCCCATGCCTGTTAATACATTGTTTCTGTAGAGAATTGTTGTACGCAGCACAACTCCTGTTGCCGGTGTTGTCACAAGTGGACAGCACAATAAACCGCAATGGCATTAATTTGAATTTATCCTCCTTAGATAGGTAAACAACAGTATATATGTACTGATGAAAAGAGATGTGCAACACTCTAAACGAGGGGTCGACAACCCGCGGCTCTTCAGCCTCCTTGTTGTGGCTCCCTTCAGCGAGACATGCTGAAACGCTTCGCTGCTTGTCTGGAACATGTGAAAACCTTCTTGGAAAGCAAAGGCCTCAGCTATCCCAAACTGGAAGACCTCGATTGGCTGGAAAAGTTTTATTTCATGGTGGATATGACAAGTCACTTAAGCGCGTTGAATAAAAATCTCCAGGGAAAGGGAAGCACGGCCCTGCAGTTGCTGGAGGATGTTCTGGCGTTTGAGCACAAGATGACAGCGTTTGCCAGAGATGTACAGAGAGGTACGCTCTCTCTCTTCCCCTCCCTGAGAGAGTTCAAAGAAAAGAACAATCACATAAATTGTGATTATTTACACCTTGCAATTATGGCAATGCAAGCTGCATTTAGAGAAAGATTCAGCGAGTTCAGAAAGGAAAAGACACTCTGTCCTTCCGTGTCACACCGCTGGACATCGACCCATCCCTGTTGAACATATCCACATTCACAGAGATAAGTCAGCCCGATCTCGAAATTGAACTGGCCAAGATAGCGGATAAAGACTTATGGGTATCCAAGCTCAAAAGCCTGACAGCGGATCTCAAAGAAGTCGCCCGTCAGAAGGCCAATCTCGCTAAACAGCACAAATGGAATGATATTGCAAACCTCCCCAAACCTGACAAACTTGTTTTTGAAACATGGAGTGCCATTCCCGACACGTACATGTATATGAACATGAAAAAGTATGCATTTGGAGTCCTGTCCATCTTTGACTCAACATTATGTGAGCAAGTTTTCTCGAGCATGAGCTTCATAAAGACCAAATATTGCTCCCGCCTCACAAATGAGAGCCTACAGTCCTGTGTGAAGACCAAAGTCACATCTTCCAGCCCCGACAGGGAAGATCAGCATCGAGCTTCAGAAACAGAAGGCACATTAAACAGATGAGAACACTAGCATTTAATAGAATATTATTTTTCAGAAAAAAACATTTATTTCAGACCCAAAGCTGATGTAGTTTTTGTATTGTATGTTCAGGTGCTTTGGTTGACTGCTGGCCGAGAAAGAAACCCAAAGAGGATGAGAGCACACTGAAATGGACTTGTCAAAAAACGTTCCTAATTTTATGTTTACTTTTTTAAAACCACTAAGCTGCAACTATATGTTTTTATATTAAAGTGGGCTACGTTTTATTTTAATTTTACACAAATACGGGAAGGACTCAAAAAAGGCATACATAGTTCAGTGTTTAATTTATTTCAAAGTAGGACTACACATGCACCTTGCACTTCGGTTTGTTGTATTCTGTTGTAACAAGTAAAATTAAAAAATTTTAAAAGTTTATAAGCTGTGTTATGTTTTGCGGCTCCAGACTATTTTTCTTTAGTGGAAGAGGGGGCAAAATGGGTCTTTTGATAGTAAAGGTTGCTGACCCCTGGTCTAAACAAAGCAGGTAGTTGAGAAATCCCATATTTAAACTGGCATAATGCAGACATAGTAACTTCTCCAGCCTTACAACAATTCTTTCTAACCACCCTAGGGTGTTTCACTGGCTGGCTGCTTGTAGGTTAGACCCAGTCAGGTAAAACAGTGAGTACCTGTACAGGAGCATTCCTGGACATGCATTAACCTCAGGCCCTGTATTTTTCTCATCCTTTCACATCCTCTGGTCACAGTGCAGCAGCAGGAGGTAAAATATGGAAACTGCTCTCTCTCCGACCGCAAGGCGTTGCAGCGGGTGGTGAAATCTGCCCAACGCATCACAAGGACTTCACTTCCAGCCATTGAAGGTGTCCACAGGGGCCGCTGTCTCCGATGTGCTCACAGACTCCTCTCATCCTGCTCACAAACTGTTTGACCTCCTACCCTCTGGCAGGGGCTTCAGGAGCCTCTGGACCAAAATCAGCAGACTCAGGAACAGCTTCTTCCCCACAGCTGTCCCTTTACTGAACTCTGTCCCCCTTTGACCCCCTACTGCCTTCATCTATACCACTACACATACCTCACCCCTTCTCATCTCTCCTCCCGGGACTCATGCAATACACTTCTGTTGCCTGTCAATTTGCACATACTCTACTCACAGAATACTGATCTGTATTCATTTGCACACTGTTCATATGCAGATACTGTATATTTATCTTTATCTTTGCATTATTTACATCCATTGAACTTGTTACTCATGTAACATATCTTCTTATTCTGCACTGTTTCATTCCATCTCATCCCATTGCACTAGTGTTCTATAAGCATAATGTATCTTATCCATTATTGTAATTGAAATCTATAGTCTGTTGTATATTGTACATTACCCTACATATCTTACTGTAAATATAATTGTACGTATCCATCGGTAAGTTACTTCTGACTGTTCATACTGTAGATACTGCGCACTCTGCATTGCTGTTATTGCACTTCTGGTTAGATGCTAAACTGCATTTCGTTGCCTTGTACTTGTACATCGGTAATGGCAATAAAGTTGAATCTAATCAAATATCCAAAAAGCCATGTGCATTTGAAAACTTCCACTTTTACAATGGCACTGGAGGATGTCTCTTTTTTTAAGTTTTATTGAAAATATGCGTAGCAAACAAGGCAATATAATATTTTTTCAATATGGTGGGGGCATTAGTGGATGTCAGGCAAGCACACATGAATGCGCAACTGCCTGCAGATTATGGCCATTCAAGGAAATCCTTAAACTATCATGTAATACTTTTATTTTGTTAAAAAAGTCTCATGAGCGAGAGTTTGCAAGACGTGTATAAATCTAGCTACTTCTGCATAAATATACTAGAACATATGTGCACCTTATTTTTTGAGCTTTAGGTCATGTCTAACATGATAATTCACTGTTGTAACATTGTAGATAAGTCAGAAAATAAGGAAAAACATGCCATGGGCTCTTTCAGGTTTTCCAAGGACTGTGTGCCAAAGACATAGTATGATGCTCTCTAAATATTTTATACATGTAAGGATTAATGTTTCTCTCTAAATTAAATAATTAACCTTAAGAAAAGTGAGTGTTTCTCCCCCACTGTATAGGTTAGTTTAGGATTTTGTCTCTAAATATTGATTAGAGCAAAAACCAAATTAATTTGCTTTTCAGAAATTCAGTAATGAGATAAATACTAAATTAATATTCCAAATTAAATCTATCAAACTTAGGAAAAGCAGCTGTTTCACCCCAGTATAGATACATTTTAAGGAGGTTTAGCTCCAATAGTTTTGAGAGATGTCAGAATTAATACTGAATTAATTCTTCTTTTCAGAATTGCTGTAATTAAATATTAAACAAATCAAATAATTTAGAAGCCCTCTTTTACAGCAGTGCAGTATGCAGTTTTTAACAAAAGACCAAACTTACCATTACATCCCAATGACTACTGAAAACATGAAATCCAATATATAGTGTAGGTCCTATAAAAACAGCGGTGATTGCTCACATCTCTCCTGACCTTCCTTGCATTACAAGTGACTGCATGGGCCACAAACATCAAGATGTCCTGTATCATAGATCTGGGTAACCCATCCATAATCAGCCAGTCTTTACTTGCCGATGGCACTCCATATGTGGGCTACACTTGGCCCTTCACCCTCTCCAACATGGATTTGTGTAGCCGTGATCACAGTCTTTTCCACCAGGCTGTAGCATTCCACATGTGGTATGGTCACAAATAGCTAAATGAATTCCAGTAGGTAGCATAAGATCGGTAAATCCACCGGTGGTCCTCTCTTCCCAGACAGGAGTGAGTTACAAAAGACTTCCACACAGGTTTTTAAACTGCCCTTCAGTGTTAGCCAATAGGTAAAACTGCCACCTGGGGAGTAGGAGCACCTGAGGCCCCAGCAGCATGTTGTCAGCATATTTTTCTCCATAGGCTCCACACCATGTAGCAGTTCTCTTTTTCAGCTGCTGTTTAAACCCAGTGGTTATGTGTGAATCAGCAGGCTGACATGCAAGAACACATCTAAGGTTATGGTAGCCTCTAATTGCATATGTTTCTCCAACAATCCCTTATCTTAGCATAGCAACACACACAGTGGGTGGGGCTTAGGGCTTAGGGCTGATGAGGTCAGGGTCAGGTCTTCACTTCAGACCTGAGTTTGACAGAAGTGGGATTTTATAGCTCTCTATCAGTATACTTGGTACAGTCATCAGTGACGACCAACCCTAGAAGTGATTAGATTTTGGCTGAAAAAGATCAAGGTCACATAAAAATCATTAAAAAAAAATCCTTCTTTAACATGTGGCAAATTTTAGAAATTAACACATACAGTATATAGGATGGCAGTGTCTATCACCAGACTAAATTTCATCCTATAAGCTATAATGAAGATAGAACCCTGAAATGTTCAGGTCAGATGCGCAGTATTACTCCCTGTCATACACTAAAAATGATCCAGTCCAGATCAAGGATTTTAGGACATTTTGTGTTGTTCTGGAGCTCATTTTTCACAAGGGACCATTTGCGTGAGTGAATATTATGCCTTGGCAGAGGTACATGCGCTCTCTGAGTCCTCTTGTTACAAATGTGTTGTATGTGAGGCCATCTTATCATGCCAACCAATTATGTGATCAGCACTCAGCCTGTTAAGTATGGATCATTTGCTAATGTTGCCCTTATACAAAGATAAGCCCATTATTATACAGGATGACATCATCCAAGATTAACAGATCAATGTTTTAAACAAATTCAAAGAATCAAATTCACTAGATGAGAGTTAACACTGTCAGTTTACATTAATTAAACCAGGGTCCTGCTTTTTGTACATGTAATTAGCTGTACTGATTATTGATGGTGTAGCACATGCCAGGATTTTTTATTTTGTCAAAGCCAGTTTTAAATATAGGTGGTCGTGTTGTCATAGCAATGAAGCCACACATCCACATTTTCCTCACAGTTAGCAGGATTGTGACTTTTTATCGTGAGGCCCACACACACTTAATTCTAGATAACTAACTCACTCCTCATTTCTTTAGAAGCACCAATTAGAAAAGTGTTGACATGATTATGGTTTTAGTTTAGGTTTAGTACATTGAGAGCCAAGTTAGCTGCATGAGAGTTAATGAGATACTTCTAAATGGATAATATTAGTCAGGATTAACTGAGCCATGACTGGAGAACAGTGGCCACAAAGTAAGCACATACATGCAGTATATGGCCATTAAAACTTGTCACGGAACAGTCATGGAATGTTACAGACATTGTGTGCTAAGTATAAATTTATATATACTGTAAAGCTACATGCAAGTGGATTGATGGTATGTAATAACAATAAACAAATATAATGCTGTAAAACTAAATAAAATATGGCATTGGTGATCTCTTGCTTCTATTTCCTGCAGGAGGTGAACAGTTTGCAATGGGAGCTCAGCTTCAACCAGGTCCAGATGAAGAAGTCTGAGCAGTCCTGGGAGCAAAAATACAACAGGTCAGATTTACTCCACCTACACTCATATCTGTGCTGTTTTCACTGGTTTGTATTGCTTCTCTGTTGTTGTTGTTGTTGTTGTAATCAGAATTTTGAGCGAGAACAAGACTCTGACTGACAACCTGGAAGAAAGAGAGAGTGACAATCAGCGGCTCAGAGCTGAAAATACTGGTAAATGCTGAATAATTTACAATGATTTTGAGGTGTCTTAGACATGTCTGTTCATATTATCTCCATCTGTGAAGTAAAGTGGACTTGTTTGTATATAGTTGATTCACCAAATTTCATTCATCTCTTCACACTTGATGTGTAACTCAACAGTTATCTTTTTCCTGAGCTTTCAGCTTCATCTTGTTGTTTTAATGAGCAAATGAATTTAATTTTGTGATCAAATTAAAAATGACTGTGTTTGTAGCTCTAAGCCGGCAATGCCTGGAGCTTCTCTCCATGTTGAATGTGAAGGAGCAGAGAGCTTACCAAGGAACCAAACCTCAGTGCAGCCCAGAGCGAGATGCAAGTGTTCTAGAGGTGAGTGAGCACCAATCAAAACAGAGACAGAGAGAAAGATATTATACAAGACAGGGCCTCAAGATCAGGTAGCAATACAAATATCATCTTTTACCTACCATAATATCAGTGTATCTTGCCACACTGTGAACCTGGTAAATGGACTGTATTTTTATAGCACATTTTTCCACAGTGTGTTGCACTGGCCAAAGTGCTTTTCAGGAGATCATACACCATTCACCCATTCACACACAACATTCACACACCGATGACAACAGGCTGCCACACAACGGCGCTAGTCAAGCCACCAGTAGCAATTCGGGGTTGAGTGTCTTGCTCAGGGACACTTAGGCATGCGGGGAGACCGGGAGTCAAACCACCAACTTGCTGGTCAGGAGACAACTGCCCTACCTCGTGGGCCACAGCCACCTGTTGGTCGGGGGTCCTGAAACTACAGTCTTGTGTAATTCTGCTGGATTTTTACATTATATGAAAGGTTACAGCATCTATTATGAGTTGATTTAGAGTTGTAAGATAAGATAAGATAATCCTTTACTGTCATTGTAACACATACAACGAAATTTCAGAGTGACCTCCTGTTGATACAATAGAAAAAACATTAAATATGAAATAAGACCATATAAAAACTTAACTGCTAGAAAAATGAAATAAACAGACCTCTCACACCCCCCCCCCTCACACACACAGGCATATTATATTTTAGCAGCATTGAGTGTGGTAACTGCTGTTCAGTAAAAACTATTCCTAAATCTAGTGGTCCTTGATTTGATTGCTCTGAACCGTCTACCTGACGGCAGCAGTTCAAAGAGTCAATGTCCTGGGTGTGAAGTTTTCTTAATGTTGTTCTGAGCGTTTTTGAGGCAGTGGGAACTGTGTAGTTCTTCCAGAGTGACGAGAGGGCAGCTGACGATTTCCTGGGCCGTATTAATGACCCTCTGGAGCGTTTTCCTCTGAGCCACTGTGCTGCTGTATACACATATACAGTATGTAAGGATGCTCTCAATGGAGCACCGATAGAAGGACACCAGCAGTTTCTGAGAGATGTTGTTCTTCCTGAGCACCCGTAGGACATACAGTCTCTGCTGGGCCTTCCTAAGCAGTTTAGAGGTATTCACGCCCCAGGTCAGATCCTCCTTAATGTGGACTCCCAGAAAGCGGAAGGCCAGCACCCTCTCCACATGGTCCCTGCTCATATACAGTGGCAAGATGTCAGTTTTCTTCCTCCTGTGTGTTGTTAAGTTACAGCATCTATTATGAGTTGATTTAGAGTTGTGTGTTTTCCAGTTAGCTGTGTTGGGGGCCTGCCGGTGTCTTGGTGTTGAGGCTTGTCCATGCAGTCGGACTGCCGCTGCCAGCAGGAAGCAGCTTATCCAGCTACAACAGGAGGTAAACTAGATAACCACCTGTGCCAGTATCCATCTTTTTTTTTCTATTTGCCATCCTTTCTCATAAGATGTAACATCAATCCTTGTGCTGAAAACCGCACAAATCTATTTATAGATACAATTTATTGTGTTGACATTTGGTAATGTTAGCTAACATCACTGTCAGTATTTTTGTAAAGTAATGTGCAAGGAGTGTTGAGATAAAACAAGTGGGTAGTGCACGTGAAGATTTGTGATAGACATTTGTTGTGCAAATGTGTGGTGTCCACAAAAACAGTTCATTTCATTGGTGACCTCCTTACATTCCAGCCACTATATCCTTAGTACACAGCTCTCAAACTATAGGGGACAGATTTTATGTTCAAAAAATAAAGATTTTACATGTATTTTTGAAGAACATGTCTCTTTTAAACCTAAAAGAAAAGTTGACCTGGAGCACAGACTTTTCTGTGACTGCTAATTCTCATCTTCAAGGAGAATGTTCTCCAGGGATGTTAGTTTCATAAACATGCAGAGCAGCATAACAGGTATGGGAAGAGGAAAAGACAAGACATTCTGACATATATCCCCAGATAATTTGACTTGAAGAGATCCCTTGTTTAATAAGCTTACTATGTTTAATATAATGAAAAATCTCCCTACACTGATAGTTCTCTCAAGTCAGTAATCTTCTTTTGGTGACTCTAGAATTGCAGACTCAAAGTTATAAAAGTGTGTGTGTGTGTTATAAAGTTGGATGCTCAGCGTTTAAGGAGAGAAGAGGCACTGATGGTTGCAGATGCTTTTCGCATCGCCTTTGAACAGCAGCTGAGGAAACGAAGTGAACACTTCCTGCTGCTGGCAGAGGCCAATGTCCTGAAATCCAGCCACAGCAAAACTGAAGGCAAGTCTGCTGTCATCATGGTATGCTACATTAGATCACAGTGGAAGGTTTGGTCATCCCTCAGGGGGCGGTTCTTGTCCATAGAACTTAATTTTAAAAACTAATACATGTACATGTATCCATACAAATCTAAATTTAAGGTATAGACCTCTGTAGTTTTTACTTGGTACATAGTGAATTTTGTAGTTCTTTTAGAATCCAAAGACTAACCAACTAAGTTCCAAATGGAAATTAAAACAGCTCTTATTTTTATATTAATTCAATCACACACTTATTACAATATGACATAATAGTTAAAATAAAATGGAATTTATATATTTGTTTAGGTTAAGAGAAAAATAACATTTCTTTTAACTCCCAAATGTGAATGAATCACAGACTTATGTCACTAAAATATACAAACAGAAAAAGTAATTCAAGTGAACATTTTTCTGTTTCTGTTTTCCCCACAAAGCTACACCATAGCACAATTTCTGTTTATTCAAACATCAGAAAAGGATTTGTCTTTTCCTTACAGGTGTCAACAAGAGTCCCTCAATCAGTGTAAGCCAGAGGCTGAGAGAATTTCTGCCTTCCAGTTTGGATGTGAAGATACCCGAGGATCTTTTAGTGACTCTCTACAGACTGTTGGACCTAGTTAGTATCTCCTCTGACACCTCTTGGCCTGTTATTTGGAGGACTTTTGTTTTACTGGGGAGATTGACCCCCTGATGTATAACTTTTTTATTTCTACCATCCTCATGACCCAGAGATTTAATGCAGCACCCTCACCTTCTTAGCTATTGTTAAGACTTCGCTCAACTTTAAACTAAACAAGCTTGAGAGAGTAGTTCAAAGCCTCCTTACATTTTCAGGGACAGTGGATGAGATGGGAAGATGTAGAAAGGAAGAAACTTAGTTGGAGGGAAATGTGGAACATGGAGACAGGAAGGATTAGATTCATTCTAGGTGCCACCTATGTGCTTCTATCACCCCAAAATCTGAATAGATGGATAGGTGAGGACCCAACATGTCCCTTATGTTCAGGGTGTAAAACAAGCCTGGCTCAAAGACAATACACCTGGAGACGTAATCAACTGTTGAAATGTTTAGCAGCAGCTATTGAAAGCAGGCACTTGCAGGTAAACTCAATGGAGAAGAAGAAATGAGGAGATTTTGTTCATTCTTCAGGGTGAGAAAGGCAGGAAGCAAGTCGGTTTGAACAGGCAGAATGTAGGCCAGCTAAAGACAGGGAGAGACTGGTGAATGAAAGTAAATTTAGGGAATCAGCTCATAGTTCCTGAGGAGATAGTCAGCATTAACCTCAGACCAGACCTTGTGTTGTGGTCAGAAGCACAGCGAATTGTGTATTTTGTTGAGCTTACAGTTCCCTGAGAGGATGCTGTAGATACAGCTTATGAGAGGAAGAAACTGAAATACACAGAGTTAGCCATCGAGGCAGAGGAGGGTGGCTGGGAAGTTAATGTCTGCCCCCTTGGAGGTTGGTTGTAGGAGATCTGTAGCTTGTGAAGGTCCTCTGACACCCAAGGCTCTGACACATGTGCGGTAGCTCATGAAGCAATTGTATCGAACCACTGTGCCGAGGCGTGTTTCGGTCACGTGACTAGTGACGTTTGAAGCACTTGAGTGATGTTCAAAGCAGTTGGATCCATCTGACGTCATGCGAATCAGCTGATTGGTTCGGTTTGTCATGTGAATCACATTGCGGGATCAAGTGTGTTCAGAGATAGGATATCCCTATTTAGTGGCATTCATTTGAATTTGTCTTTGCAGAGCAGGTTGGTTTGAGAGTTTGTAGTGTTGTAGCAGATTGCGTAA